TGGATGAGAAGCCCCTGCCAAGCTGCTGTGAGGAAAATCATCGTTAGCAGATGATTCCTCCGGTGCTTTGTGCAGCAGCTCGGCAGCCTGGCAGTGCCTGGGCCGGGTAATGGCAGCAGGAGGAGCTCCAAGCACTGAGTCCAGAAATTATGCAGAACCATTTTCCAGGTTTTATGGGGATATAATAGTCCTTCCCAGCTCCAGCACATCCTTAATGGCTTGACTGCAGCTCATCTGAACCAGCTGTTCTGCCCAGGAAAGGCTGTTTGGCAGCAGGACTGAACTGAAGGGATGGGCTGTAAAACTCCTTAAACCTTGTGAGGTGACTTATCAGAACTCCCCAAATGTGCCCTGGAACATCACTGGGTGCAGAGGCAGAGGCTGGGACATGGTTAGTGAGTGCAGGAGGGAGCTGTTCCATGAATCCCTGGAAGAACTGTTCCTAATTAATTCCGTGTTCTGTTCGAGCAGAAACAGCTCAAATAAAACTGCCTGTTTTGTAGGCACTGAATAACTTCTTTAATAAAACCTGTTAAATTTCCCAGGTAGCATTCTTGTGGCATTGTTGATCACTGCTTTGCTTGCTAAAGTACCCACATAAGAGCTTGGTACAGCTTAGAGCTTTGCTGTAAAAGAGTTCCTAACAGGCATTTTTTCCTGACAAGCCCTGAGCTTTCCTCTCCCTGCTTTCCAGCTTTTCCGCCGTGTGGCTGCTGCCTTACCTGGGATGGACAGCACACCAGAGAAGAGCAAAGAAGACAGTATCCTTGCTTTCCCAGGGAACTGGCCAGTTACCTGTTGTTAAATTGGGCTCACTGACTGCTTCTGGCACATTGTGGGAATGGGGCCCTGGAAATGCCCAAGGCCAGGTTGGACAGGGCTGGGAGCAACCTGGGATAGTGGGAGGTGTCCCTGCCCATGGCAGAGGGTGGACTGGATGAACTTTTGGGTCCCTTCCAACCCAAACCAGTCTGTGATTCTGTGACCCTGTTTATGGGCTGTAGATAAATGTGCACAACTGAGGGCAACTAAAGCACAAGTTTTGCTTCTCCACTTGAAGTGAGGATGAAATCTGTATAGTTTGAAAATGCTGTAATTCTTCATTCTGTTTGCACAGCCCTGTCCAGTTGGGCTCCTTCCTCTGAACGGTCTCAACATGCCAAATCCCCTGGTTTTGCAGTGAGTGCTGTTCAGGCAGAACAAGCTCTGCTCAAACACCGTGGGGGGACCACTAACAACCCTTTCCCTGTTCTGTCCTTCTTGTTCTCCTTCAGCTGGGTGATTTCCTTAACCTCCCCTGCAGTGATCGACATCAAACTAGAGAAGCCCCCCGAGCAGCCAGTCACGGAGAGCGGGTGCTCCTGCTAACGGCACCTCCCAGCCATGCCCTGAGAACATCACTCATTGCCCAGGCATCCCTATGTGGGGCTGGAAAACAGCTCCTGAGAGCGACCTCCCTGTTTACTGGTGGGGAGCAGCCCCGGCCGCCCCTCTCACTGCATGGTATGAGCCCTGAGTGCAGAATGAGTGTCCTGTCTTTTGAGTTTATTTTTTTATGTTGTTGCACTTTGGCACCGTGGTGCCCTTTACACTCTCTCTCTCTCTCTCTCTCTCTCTGTCCCTCTCTTCCTCCCCTTCTCCCCCTCTCCCCCACCTCGAGCCCACCCACTCCCCTGTACCTTGTGAATGCCATGGAAAAGCCGCCACGTTCGGGAAGACAAAAACGAAGCTTTGGGGGTGGGTTCTCCACCTTCCCTCCTGCCTTGCATCCCAGCCAGCTCCCTGCCCTGCCTGCCCTGCATCCCCATTTCCTCTGGGAAGGCTGCTCCTGTAAACCAGTCCCTTGGACTCGGCCTTGCCTTTCTGGACAGCCCAGGTCACTTGTTCCCAGGCTTTGCTTCCTGCAGGGCACACACACAACATTAGCTCCGTGGTTTCTCCTTCCTGCTGATGGCCCTGCCTAACTCTTGCTCACAACTTCCAAGTGTTGCCCCTGGTGTCACACACAGCACTAGAAAGCCCCAAACTCTGAAAGCTTTGGCCTTGTTGCTCCTGTCTGTGTAGCAGAGACATCCCACAACCTGCTCTCCTCGCTTGGAATCCCTTCCCATCCAGAGGATGTTGGTGCTTGGTGAGTGTTGGTGCAGGGAAGGAGGAGGAGGGAACAGGCTTTGCAGCGTGAGGCTGGGTGGGGAGACATCCTCAGGGATTCTGAAAGCAAGCAGTGACCTGAAATCCAGCACTGCTGGGGCAGTACCTGCCCTGGCAGTCATGGATTTGGCTCAGGCTCTTTTCTTGAACTCCATTGTCCTGTTCCTCATCCTGTAGATGGGGAACGGCTTCTCTGGAGCAGGAGAGCCACAGCAGATGGAAGGGCAGCATTCCACTCTCATTCCCAGGTTGCTACTTGATGGGATCCCACCCAGCTGCCTCTGCCTTTGGAGCAGAACTCTGGGATGGGGCCACCAACCCTTTCCCTCCTGAGGACTGAGGGGAGCAGGGAGTGACTGTCAGAGTGGGTGCAGGAATGGTGGATTGTCTGCTGCTGAAGGGAATTCTGGTGTCATTTCCCAACCTTGGAGGTTGGGAAATGCCTCCTCTCCCCACTGTCCCTGGTTTTCAGAGCTTTTCAGAGATTTTAGTGGGGTTTTTGGGTCCATGTGTCCTAACAGGAGGTTTGTCAGTTGGCAGAAGGAGAATTTCACTGCCCTCTCCCCCCGGGCTGTGTCACGGGGAGGATGCTGGTGGCAGGAGAGGGACTGAGCAGGGTGTGACCCCAGTCCCTCCCCTGCCCTGCCAGGCTGTCCCTGACCCCGTGTGTGGAGCCCAGGGACCCTGAGGAGGGGAAGGGGCAGCGGGGATCTGGCAGTCCCTGCATGGCAGGTTGTTCCCTTCCCTCGGGGTGAGCTGGGCTGCAGGAGGAGGCTGGGCTGTGGTTCCCCGTTCCCTGTGGAGTGTCCCCTGTCCCCCCGGGAGGCGGATCCCTGTCCCTGTCCCTGTACATACCCGTTGGGATCGCTGGTGTCGCTGTGTCCCCGTGTGTTGCTGTCCCCCCTCGCGGCGGCCCCGCTGCCCCCCCTGTCGTGTTGTTGGAGTCGCGGAGCGGGGAGGGAGGGGGGAGACCCCACTGACGGGGTGGGGGTAATTAGTGAAATGAATAGTTCCCTTCCCTCTGTCCTCTCTGGTGTGTTCAATGCCGTGTGTGTCGGCCCCGCTGTCTCTTAGCTGTAGCGAGTACGTGTGACTATTACTCTGAGTATGGACTGTCTGACACAGCCCTGTATCACAACCAATAAATAAAGTTATTTCACCAACACCTGCGCTCGCCTGGTGTCACACGGGGGGACTTACCGCGAGCTGCGAGCGGCCTGAACAGAGCAGGGCAGGGAGGAGGAGCAGGGATGGTGGAGGAGGAGCAGGGATGGCGGAGGAAGGAGGAGGAGGGATGGAGGAGGAGGAGGAACAGACAGACGGAAGAGGAGGAGGGATGGAGGAGGAACAGAGGAGAAGAGATAGTTGGAAGGACTTTTCTCTGCTGACGTGTTTGCAAGATGTGGAATATGTAACAATTTTCCTGAGATAGGCTGTTCTTTGATGTTTGATCTTTGTTCACTTTCAAGCCTGCTCAGCAAGAAAGGAGATTTAATCCGTGAAACAGCAGCCAGCAAGCTCTGAGTGATGGCCAGGGGTTGGGAAAAACAAATTACTTGTTGCTAGAAGGCAATTCCCACCCAAACCATTCCATGAGTCTGTAAAATTTGCGCCTCTCAGCCTCAGTTTTGTAAGTCACTAAAAAAATCCGGTGTTGCTGGAGCTGTTGTTTTCCCACCAGGAATCACAAACTGCCCCTTTGTCCCTCGAGTTCTGGGGGATGAAATGGACTGTGATGGCCTTAATGCTTTGATAATTAAGATACCAAAGAAAGAATCCTCTCTTTCCTGTTAGCCAGGGTTGGCAGGGAAGCTCCTGAGTCATTCCCTGTAATAAAAGGGAGGAAGCTGCCCAAGGCAGGGGAGACCTTCGTGGAGCTCCTGCCAGGGATTACTCTGAAGGATGCACAAATTGAACATTAGGGTTGTATCTGCAGTACCCTGTAGAGAGAACCCCTCCTTCCCCAAAAAACATGAGAATGCTGGGAAACGGTGTGAGACCAGAGCGGTGAATATCCCATGGGACACGAAGACTGTGGCAGCAGCAGAGCTCCTACCTTGCCTCCCCAGGGTCTTACAGTGGGGTTTCCAGGGTAATCATTTCCTGGGTAGAAAAACTAATTTTTAATTCTGAGTGAAAGTCTCTTTTCTAGTGTATTTTGTGCCCCTCAGGCTCCTGCCCCAGGCAGTGCTGGAGTTGTGGTGGTGCCACCACAGATAAAGCCCCCCCAGAGCAGCTCCTGCTCCTTCCTGCAGTGCTGGAACATGTTCCAGGTTCGTCAGGGCTGACTTCCAGCACAGTCAGTGGATATAAACACCCTCAACCAGAGCTGCACCTCCTGTGGATCCCAAATGTTCTCCTGCAGGCTGGAGCCGAGCCTTGTCCCAGCATTTCCTGAAGGTGGGAATGAACAACCCTGCACACAGACTTCCTGAGTGGGAATTTGGGCTGCTCTACTCATTTTATTGTCTTTATAGATGAAATGAAAAACACCACAAGGAAGAGAAGGGCAAAGCCAGGGCTGTCCTGAAGCCACTACAGCATGATGATCCCAGCAGGCACTGGCACCCACATTTGCTGATAATTAACATTTCCAGTAACCCCAGCCCTGTATCCCGGGGTCATTCCCAGCACAGAGGCACGAAGAGCCCAGTGCAGCCAGAGCTGGGCACAGAGTTTGGGTGGGTTTTACTCCTGGATCCCCCAGCAAACCCAACAGAGCAGAGGTGGGACAGAGGAGAAGGAAAGAATTCCATGGCATGAGAGAAGGGCACAGGGGGATTTCTTGGAGGACAAGGCCCCTGCTTTGCTCAGGAGCCTCAGCCCCTCGTGCTTTTCCATCCCAACAGCAGCGGTGCCTGCAGTGGGAGCTGGATGTGCTGGGCCATCTCAGGAGGTGGGAAAGCAGGAGAGGTTTGTGCAGGAGGAGCAGAGCTCCCTGTTAGTGAACAGTGCGTTCCTTCTGCCGCTGGTAATCTGGGGGAGAGGCAGAGCCTGAGAACAGGGAACCACCCCCAGGGGCAGCAAACACCTCCTGTCAGGGCATTTAGAGCAACACTTGGTTTTAAATCCTCTCTTCCCCCACTCCCTATTTTCCTTTTTGTGGCCAGTTTCCATTTCAGGAAGAATCCCAGTTTGGCTTGGCTTGATCTCTTATCCCTTAAATCTTGGAACTTCATGGGAGCAGAAGCAGAACTTGAGAGTGAACACAGACCTTCTCTTCACTCACCATTCCAGCATCCCTAGGGAGGAGTACCCACCACTGGCACTGGTGCCAAGCTGATTCCTGTGCTATCCAAGGATAATCAGCTGCTTCTGGAGCCCTAAATCACCTTTGTCCTCCCCCACCATTCCCCCTTCCAGCACAGGGTGGCTCAGCCCTGCTCCCCAAGTTCCCCTGCTTGTCCCGAGGTGGTGCCTGACCCCAGATCCCCATCTGTGCCCTGCCAGACTCGGGTGGAGGTGGAAGGTGCTGCCCCCGCAGCCCTGGCCTTACTCACTGTAGGGGAAGTAGCGCACGCGCATCGTGATCTCCCGGGCCGTTTTCAGGATCTCCACGGCCTGGAAAACAAGGGCTGGGCAGGGCTGGGCAGGGCAGGAGGGGCTGGAAGGGCCTGGGTGCCCCCCCTGCCCCAGCTCACCTTGCTGTGCTCGATGTCCTGGAAATCCACGTCGTTCACCGACAGCACCTGGTCCCCCTCCTGCAGCCCCGCCCTGTGCGCGTCCGAGTCCGGGATCACCTGGGACAGGGGTGGCACTGGGATGGGCACTGCCCCTCCCACAGCCCCTCAGCACCCACCGGGCACCGGCAGCACAGGGGAAAGGGAAGGTGCATTCCCGGCAATTCCCGGGGCTGGGAATGGGACGAGACCGGGCAGGGCCACGGGAGGGGGCGAGTGTGGGAAATCCCAGCAGGAGCTGGGGGGTGGAGGGGGCAGCTCAGAGCCCCCTGCACACCCAGCAGCTCCCCAGGGAACAGCAGGATCCAGGGGGGAATGGACAGGGACGGACACACCTTGGAGATGAAGATCCCCAGCTGGGAGGCTTTTCCTCCCCGGATGTTGAAGCCCAACTGTGGGAAAAGCCAGCAGTGAAAGGCAGCCACCAGCACCCTTCCCTTGGCCCAGGACCCTTCCCTTGGCCTAGGACCCTTCCCATTCCCAGGACCCTTCCCATTCCCAGGACCTTTCCCTTGATCCAGGACCCTTCCCTTGATCCAGGACCCTTACCTTGGCCCAGGACCCTTCCCATTCCCAGGACTCTTCTCATTGCCCAGGAACCTTCCCATTCCCAAGACCCTATCCATTCCCAGGACCCTTCCCATTCCCAGGACTCTTCTCATTGCCCAGGAACCTTCCCATTCCCAAGACCCTATCCATTCCCAGGACCCTTCCCAGAACCCTTCCCATTCCCAGAACACTTCCCATTCCCAGGTCCCCTCCCTCTCCCGGACGGATCCCGGTCTCTGTTCCCATTCCAAGCCCCCCAGCAGCCCCAGCCCCTCCCTCCCAACTCCCGTTCCCGGGACCCCCGCGGGGTCTCACCTGCGCCCCGGGCGGCTTCTGCAGGGCGATGGTGCGGGGCAGGAACCGCGTCAGCTCGTTGTTGTAGTCGGGGTGAAACACCCGCTGCGGGGACGCGCCAGCTCAGCCGGGGCCGGCCCGGGTGGGACCCGCGTTACCCTCCCCCCTCACGTCTCCCCCCTCACCTGGTGCGGCGGGACCCCCCTCACGTCTCCCCCCTCACCTGGTGCGGCGGGACCCAGGCGGGCGGGCTCTCGTAGGGCGGCAGGAAAACCACCGGGAAGTCGTCGTAGGGCGCGCGGGGCTCCATGGCCGCCGGCTCGGGCGGCGCGCACCGCGCGCCCATTGGCCGCGCCCGCGCCGGGGCACGCACCGCCACGCCATTGGCCCGGCGTTCCGCCCGCCCCGCCGCCTCCTGCTTCCCTGCTCGGCGATTGGCTGCTCTCTGCCCAGCAGTGACGCACCGCGCCGTGATTGGCGCGCTCTTTGCCCGTCGGTGACGCACTGCTCTCTGGTTGGCCGTCCCCTCGCGCGGCCCGTTTGAGTCGCGACCGTTGCGGCGCGGCCATCGCGGGCGCGGCGGCTCCGGGCGCGTTCCGAGGGGGTTCCGGGGGGTTCCAGGCGGGTTCGGGGGCTCCGGCGGCACCGCCCGCGCTCCGATCGCATCCCCGCCCGTTCCCACTCCCCCTGGGCCCGCGGGGTCCCGGGCGCTGTCCCCCGCGCCGGTGCTCAGGGCCCGTCCCGCGCGGGGCCGGCGATGCAGCGCGACGAGGACAAGGGCATCCCGGTGCGGGTGGCGCTGCGCTGCCGGCCGCTCGTGCCCCGCGAGAGCAGCGAGGGCTGCCAGAGCTGCCTGTTCTTTGTGCCCGGCGAGCCGCAGGTGAGGCACCCGCACACCCCTCACCCCTCCCTCCCGCACCCCGGCCCGGGCGCGCTGTGACCACCCTGTCCCGTCCCGTCCCGTCCCGTCCGCAGGTCGTGGTGGGCAAAGACAAGTCCTTCACCTACGATTACGTGTTCGACCCCTCGGCGGAGCAGGAGGAGGTTTTCAACACTGCGGTGTCTCCTCTGGTCCGAGGCATCTTCAAAGGTCTGTGCCAAATCTGGGCCCTTTGCTGCCGGTTCTGCTGCACAGAGTGAGGGGTGGGGGTTCCTCGGGGCTTGAAGGTCCCTGGAGGATTTTTCTTTTAAGGGAGAGGGTTTTCATCGAATCCCAGGATGGTTTGGGTTGGAAGGGACTTTAAAGCCCATCCAGTCCCACCCCCTGCCATGGGCAGGGGCACCTTCCACTCCCAGGTTGCTCCAAGCCACAGCTTCTCTGGGCAACCTGTGCACAGAGGGCAACCTGCATCCTCACAGGGAAGAATTCCTTCCCATATCCCATCTAACCCTGCCCTCTGGCACTGGGAAGCCATTCCCCCTTTCCTGTCCCTCCATCCCTTGTAAAAAGTCTCTCCATCTTTGAGGATCACACAGTGAATTGATGCTCAGCCCATCCCAGGAGCTGTTGGTGCTGCAGTGGGTGACAGTGGATGACAGAACCTGTGCTGTTGCTGGCCAGCTCTCTAGTAAAGCAACAGCCAGTCTTTAAAAAGAGCTGAAATAATAATTTTATCTGTGTTTTGGAGGGGGTTTTCATTGACACCTTCATTGACTGTGACTGTGCTTGCAGCTGGTGTGAACTGACACTTTTTTATAAGGACGGTTTTCCCAGCTTTGTTCAAAGTCTCCTGTGGTTTTCCACGTGACTGATCCTGTGCCCTTTGTTCCCCCAGGATACAACGCCACTGTCTTGGCCTATGGACAGACTGGATCTGGGAAAACCTACTCCATGGGAGGCACCTACACGGCCACCCAGGAGCACGAGCCCAGCGTGGGGGTCATCCCAAGGGTCATCAGGCTGCTCTTTGAGGAGAAGCAGCAAAGGCAGGATTGGGAATTTGTCCTTAAAGTCTCTTATCTCGAGGTAAAAATTTTGGTTCTCAAACTGTTATCAAGTTTTGAATTAACTGAGCTTTGGGGCCTCCTCCTCCAAGTAATAAATGCTGAATAAATCAACATCTAAGGCTCTAGGAACTGGGTCTTATCCAAGATATTTTTCTCTAAAGGTGAAATGAGTAGAATGTGATGCCAGATTAGCCCTGATTCCAGCATCACCACACCTTCCTCTGCGAGGCTGGTAACTCTGAGCTGCTCTTGTGCCATTCCAGATCTACAATGAGGACATCCTGGACCTGCTGTGCCCCTCGAGGGAACGCTCCTCCCAGATCAGCATCAGGGAGGATCCCAAGGAAGGCATCAAGGTCTGCTGCCCTGTGGGATGTGGGGGCATGGGGGGGTGGCAGGGCTGGGGAGGAGTGTGCTGGTGGCACGACTGCCTGACTCCCTGAACACTGCCCAGGGAATCAGCACAGCCACTCCCTGCTCTCAGAACGGGGCTCCTGAGCCTGAACTTCATTCAGGGCAACACCAGGAGGGTCTGGTGTTCGTGACAAAGCCACTTGCACGTGCTGCTCTGACTCTCTGAAGGGTGACTGAGGTGAATGTCTGAGGTGTTTGTCCTTTGAGTCCCTTCGCTCCAATCCCTGCTGCTCTCGTGCTCCTCACTTGGCAGATGTCAGGTGCAAAAAGGGGATCCTGAGGGCAAACTTGCAGTGCCCCAGAGATTTTCTCAGCAGTTTTGTCCAGCTGTGAGTTTATAGCACAGTGCAGAGAATCCTTGTGCTGCTGCTTCCTCTGGATCCCTGGTTTCTCCATGGATCCTAGAGCCCAGCTGGCTCTCAGACAGGCACAGGAGCTTGGGGACAGTGTGTAGGAGTAGGAGGAGGGAGAGATGATGTGAATTCATGTTACTGATGGGAAATTCAGGACAGATTTTTCCTGGGGGGATCCACCCCAGGCCTCTTGAGGTGAGACATTCTTGGCAACGGAGCTCACCTGGTCTGGTACAGCCTGAGGTGGAGGAGGATTTCTCTGGACTAAGCTGGGATGAAGAGGAAGGAGGAGATCAATAATGCTGTTTTCCTGGCTACAGATTGTAGGGTTAACTGAAAGAAACGTCACCTGTGCTCAAGACACTGTGTCCTGCCTGGAGCAAGGGAACAATGCCAGGACAGTGGGATCCACGGCCATGAACTCCCAGTCCTCACGGTCCCACGCCATCTTCACCATCTGCATCGACCAGAAGAAGAAAAATGACAAGTGAGTAGGATTGTGCAGCCACTCCCAGCAGCTCTTGGGAGCTACCTGCCCAAAATTCCATAATCCTGTCCTTGGTCCTGCTCTGAGCTCCTCGAGGCGGTTGTTGTGTGTCTGTGTCTGGTATTTCAGCTCCTGGGCTGCTCCTCTCCTGACTGCACCTTACTGAGAGATAAAATAATGTATTTCTGCCACAGGAACTGCAGTTTTCACTCCAAACTACACCTGGTGGACCTTGCTGGCTCTGAGAGACAGAAGAAGACCAAGGCCGAGGGAGACAGACTAAAAGAAGGTCTGTGGGCAAAGGCTCAGCAGAGCCTGGGTTTCCAATCACTTTGAAGATAATAAAAGAGCAAGGCAGTTCTTTAACCCCTTTTTGAACCCTCTTACATTTATTATTTTTAGCTCTGCTCACTGGGATCTGTTTGCAGGGATCAACATCAACAAAGGCCTCCTCGCCCTGGGGAATGTCATCAGTGCTCTTGGAGATGAGAACAAAAGGGGTGGCTTTGTCCCCTACAGAGACTCCAAGTTGACAAGGCTGCTGCAAGGTAAGAGAGACAGGTGATGACAAAGCCTAAATCTGTGTTTTAAATAACAGGATGCACCTTAAACAAAGCAGGAGAAAACCCAACAGCCACCAAACCCACAGCTCAGAGCAGGAGCTGCTGCTGGCAGAGGGATTCATTTATTTAGTTCCTCTTCTCCCTGAAGCCAGACCTCTCTTGAACTCTTTATTTTTAGGTTGCAAATGCAGTGAGATGAGCTCCTAAATGAGTCCTGCTCTCCTGCAGTTTCTATGACAGGAGAAAACGAGACAAATTCAGAGCATATTTTTGGTGGGGAAGATGAGAAGCCAAGTCTGGGAGCAGAGATCTATTATTGTGCCTTAATTATAGCAACTTACTGGATGATGTCACAGCCAGAATGAAGCTCAAGCTGTCTGTGCCTTCCCTGGGAGCCTCATGTTTGATTTGCTTCTTAGCCTGAATATCTGGTCTTTGTGGTACTTGCTTTTCAATGGTTGTGATGGTATTTTAATACATTTATCTGAATTAACCTTTCACATGGGCACAGCTTTGGTAGTGAACTTACTGGGATGTTTATGGTAGTTAAATAATCTGGTACAAAAACTCTTCAGTGTTTTCCATATCTGAGAGTCCCTCATTAAAAACTGGATTTTGCTGCATGTGGGGCCCCTTTTTCTGATCAGTAGCTTGAAGTTGCCAATGTGTGTTGGTGTAAAACTAAAGGATGGAAGGCCATGCAGTTCTTAGCCAGTAATTCCTTAAATTGAAGAGAATTCTGATGTCTGGACATTCATGGAGGTCTTTGAGTGTTATTAGGTGGGAGAAGGGAGGGGAAAACTTGGAAGAACAAGGCCAGAAATGGCATAAAGGAATTATTTAACAGGGCAGTGATATTAGTGGGGCTTCTGAGATGAAATCTTCGGTGTTTAGAGCTGAGACATGACTTTGGCCTTCAAAAAACCTCTCTACTACAGAACTGACTGGGCAGAGGAGAAAGTCATGACAGTGACCCAAACCTGCAGCTGGATGTTGTATTTTGGGGGTGCACTCAGGGGGTTTTAGTGTCCTAAGGGTGGTGTGTCCCTGGCCACCCTGTCTCTCTGCAAGCTTTGCTCACCCCTCGTTGTCCCTGCCAGACTCGCTGGGAGGGAACAGCCACACGCTGATGATTGCCTGTGTGAGCCCAGCAGACTCCAACCTGGAGGAGACCCTCAACACTCTGCGCTACGCTGACAGGGCCAGGAAGATCAAGAACAAACCCATTGTCAACGTGGATCCCCAGGCAGCTGAGCTGCACCAGCTCAAGCAGCAGGTGCTGTGGGGCTTCCCCCTGGGGGAGGGTCTGTTAGTTCTGAGCTCAGGAGCCAGCAGGGGAAGGCTCAGGGTGCCCAACCACACCAAGTGTGCGGGACATGTTTGATATGCGTTTCTCTGGGGGCTGGAAAGGGAATGTGAGAGCACTTCTGGAATGTTACAGCAGCCATTCAATGCCAGACAAAAATGAGGGGGTGGTGTGATTTGTATTTGCCTTTCACCCTACAAATCATTGCCTGCCCAGGCTAAAGGTAAAATTAGAAATACAGGGATGGTTTGGTGCCCTCCTGACATCTCCTGC